CTCTCTCTGAATGGCTGTGTCTTCCTTCTCCACTCCTCAGGAGAGGCTTTGGGCTGTCCCAGCACCTGGGGGAAGGTGTGATGGGTCTGGCTGTGAACAGGGACTCCTTCCCCCAGGGTCCACAACAGTCTGTGGGGCTTGGCTCCACAGACTCTTAGCTGTAGTCTCCTCAGATCCCTGGCAGGGCCTGCTGGCGGCCGGGCCCTGTGCATCTGGGAGCCTAGGGGGGGGAGTGGGGGGAGGACAGGAGGTGGGACACGGGGGCTTCATAGCAGAGCGATCTTGGAGGGAGGGCCCACCTTTGCCCAGTCTCCCTTCCCAGCCTGGACCGAGCGCCCAGCTCTCCCATCCTACAGCTCTGTCCACTCGGTGGCGCCCCTGAGGCCTGCCCTCCCCCAGTGTGCAGCTGGGAGGCATCAGCCTGGCTGGGGCCTCTCTGCCTGCCCTCCCTCCCGCCCTCTGCTCCCTGCTTGGGGCTGTCAGGCCTGGGAAGAGATCCCCACAGTCTCTGCCCCTTTGCGAGTTTCCCAGTCACCCAGACACGGTGGCTTCCTTGGGCAAGGGTCTGGTCTTCTGAAAACACTTTTATGGCAAGTAAGTGACGAATGACGGAAAAGGCCCCCATTTTACTGTTTTAGAGCGTTCTGGTCAGTGATTGTGTGGCCATCGCCACTGCCCGGTTCCAGAGCAGTTTTGAGGTTTAAACGTCTTACCGTAAGTTGGGTGGGTAACAGCTTACAGAGCAGATCAGGGTTTTGAGATCAACATTTCCCATGCGTTCTGGTTCAGCTGGCCCATTGGCAGCCCCTCAACCACCTCTGGGTTTCCCTTGCCAGGGACCGGTCTCAGGGTTGTAGCAGACGGAGTATTTTCATTAGCCCTTTACTCCTCACCCTCCCGCCCCAAGCTCTAAGCCACTGCCGCTCCACGGTCAGTGTCTGGGCGGCCTCTGTTGTGGACCCGCCCATCATTGGAGCCGGTCACTGCGTGTCTTCCTTGTCTAGCTTCTTGGGTTGAGCACGTTTTCATGGAAGCACATGCGTGACGGCCTCTGTGGCAAAGGGATGCCAGTGCCCAGGCTTCAGGCACTTGGCTGCCAGCCTTCTGAAAAAACAGCTGCCGGAACTTTTCCGAGCCGCATTCCCCTCTAACCCAGGACAGCCGCGCTGGCTCACGATCCCCTTGCAGAAATGGGCTTGGCGGCGTTGTGCTTGCCCATCTGTCTGCAATGGACTCGGACGGTTTTGAACCTCCGTCTTTCCTGTTAGCCGTCATTGAAGAGTGTGCTCGGCTTGCGAGTCTGGTGTAGCCGTGCCGGGTGCCAGGCTGTCACTCTGCACCTGAGCTGTTGGGAGGCGCGCACACACCCCACTCACACTGTGGAAACTGAGGCACGGGGAGGCTAAGTCACTTGCCCAAGATCCAGACCTGATGGAGTTGCCAGCCCCTCCCATTAAAGTCTCACCCAGGCCTCGGTTTCCTGCATCTGCATAGCCGGTGGGGGCAGGGCTCAGGGTCAGCTCTGAGCCACACGGCGACTCTCGGCTTCTACTCCACAGCCCGTGAGCTCCTCAGACAGCGAAGCCCCTGACGCCGACGCCGTGGGTGGGAGTGACGCCGACGAGGATGGGGAGGGCCGGGGGGTCATGGCTGTGACCGCCGTGGCCACTTCCGCTGCCAGTGACAGGATGGAGAGTGGCTCGGACTCGGGCAAGAGCAGCGACCACAGCGGCGGCCTCAAGCGGAAGGCCCCGGCTTTGAAGGTAGGGCAGGGCTTACTTCCGGGGGCGGTTGGGGACCGAGGAGGCCTGGTCTTGCCTTCCCACACGCTCGCTCACATCCGGCAGTCTGCCATGCCCAAGACGCACACGCGTGCGTCTTAAACACACTCGAGATCTCTTTCCGGCACCACCAATCTCACGTTGCCGCTCTCCCAGTCCAGAACACTACCATCATGCCGGAAGGGACCCGGAAGGGACGCCACATCCCGGGGCAGTCACAGGCCATCCCTGCTGCCTCCAAGCCCTAGGCAGCCACTGACCCACGCACTATCCACAGATCTGTCTGCTCTGGAGCTTTTATGGAAAGGGACTCGGAGTGTACGCGCGCATGTGCGCGCGCGCCTTTTTTCACTGTGTCTGATGTTTCCAGGGTTCACTCACATGTTGTGTGCAGTGGAGCTTCCGTCATCTGCGGTGAGACCAGAGTTGGTTTCCCCGGACACCTGGGTAGTCTCCACCCTTCGGGGGCTCAGGAATGATGCTCCCGTAACTGCGCAGGTCCTCTGGCCTCTCCTGTGCCTCTGGCGGCTTCTGAATACTTAGTGCGCCATCCTTAACAGCTAAGTTCAAGAAACAGAAGGCAGCAAATGTCGATGAGGGTGTGGAGAGACCAGACCCTCCTCCATAGCTGGTACGAGGGTGCAAGCGCAGTGGGAAACAGCGTGGCGCTGCCTTCAGTAGCCGGAAGTAGAAATGCATGTGGTCCAGCAGTCCCTGTCCATGGTGCACGCCCTAGGGAAATGCCCTGGAGGTATGGGCACACCCTGCTCGTCATGGGACAATGCCCAGGAGCCAAAGGATGGAAAGCACCTCAGTGCCCCCAATGAGATGCGTAAGCACACGTGGGCGTGCAAACATGGCCTGGAAGACCACACCACATCAGAGAGCACCGACGCCGCCGAGACGCACCTCCCCGTGTGGCATCAGCCAGCCACCATGTCTGAGAGAACACTGTGGTCGGAAGTCACGGAAAGGCTTTCGCTGGAAAAGCAACATTCATTGCTGGTCAGTTCCCAGAGAGAAAACCCACTGCCACCAGTCCATGCGGCCAGCCACCCAACGCGTAGCCACTGCACCCCCAGGACGACTCGCTCAGGGGTGGGGGGTAAATCAGGAAGCAGAGGGCAGTCAGTCAGCAAGATCTGGGTACAGAGGAGGGACCCGGTCAGCCAGTTCTTCGGGTGGAGACCTGGTGGGCTCTTCATTCTTGCCGACGCACGCACTTGTGCGACCATCTCGTTGCAAAGCTGGTCGAAGCGCTCACACACAGGAACTGGAGAGAACAACCTTGCAGCCAGGAGGGTGCGAGCCACGGTTCTGAACATGCACAGGTGGATGTGAATCTCTGTGGTCTTGCTGTGCCCCACATGGGCGCGTGCGCGCACTTGGACAGAACCGGCAGTGCACACGTGCGGTTGTTATCCCTTGCCCCTCCCCACTGGTGCTGCAGACAGGGAATCGCTCGACTGGGAACCGAAGGGCCGCTGCTTGAAGCCCCTCAGAAACACCTCGGCAGAAAGGTCTGTCAACCCACCTTTCAAAACCAGCCCTTGGGGAAAAAAGGAGCTGATGCCAAGGACCGAAGTAGAAAGCAAATGTTTTGAAAATGATGGTGGCAAAAATGTACAAATGTGCTTGACACAACGGATGGATGCATTTTGAAAAGAGCTGTATGAGCCCCCAATAAAATGATTTAAAAAAAAAAAAGTAGATGACAAAGGCCCAACCAGCTTTATAGAGTCTGGTCCGCAAGGTGTTTCCATGGAAAAAAGATCTCCGGTTTCATACCCTTGGAAATGACGCCGGTTTTGTTCGTATTGTTTGGACTTTGATGAACTAGCAGGATGGGAACATCAAGAGTACCACATTATGCATTCTCATGTCTGAAAACAGCTGAAACCGCTATAAATGTTATACTGGGATGAAAAAAACAAACCAGCCCTCGGACGCCCCACGGGGTGCACTTCTGAGTTTCCGCCAACAGAGGGCGCCCGCGAGTCAAGAGTTGCTGTGACAGCCGCTGGTGATGGTTAGTTGTGCCTTCACCTGGTTGGACAGCCGTCACCACGCACCTGCTTCGCGCGTGCATGTGCGTGTGTGTACGTGTGTGTGTGTTTCTGGGAAGGGATCCCTGGCTTTTCTCAGGTTGTCCGCAGGGTCCCCAGCTCCAGAAAACTCCCAGGGAGCCCAGCTTTCGCCTGGGCTGTGAGCTAGCCAGGTGGGGGCTGAGCCAGGCGCTGTCTACCCACCCCCTGAGGTGACCAGACTACTCCCTTGCAGATGTCCGTGTCGAAACGTGCCCGGAAGGCCTCCAGCGACCTGGACCAAGCCAGCATGTCCCCGTCCGAAGAGGAGAACTCAGAAAGCTCTTCTGAGTCTGAGAAGACCAGCGACCAGGTGGGCAGCTGGGCACACCCTCAGTGGGTGGTGGGGGCAGCTGGGCACTCCCTCGGGGAGCGGGACCCTGGTGAGAGCCCGCAGGACCCGACCTCACGTGCCCCTCCGTCCAAGGACTTCACACCCGAGAAGAAGGCCGTGGGCCGGCCCCCGAGGCGCGGCGCTGTGGGGAGGAAGAAGAAGGTATTGTTCGTTTGCTTTCTGTGCGCGCACCCACGCCCACCTCTGGGAAACCCCAAGAGGCTTTGGGCCACAGGTCAGCCTGCAGAACGGCCCTCAACGCCCAGCCGTGGCTCGGAGCATGTGGATGGCCGTCATTTGGCGGCCACAGTCGCCGCAGGCCACCGTCTTCTGGAGGCAGAAATTGGGGGGCGGGGGGCGTAACGAGGAAGGAGCCCTGCGTGCATCAGTGTGAGCGCGCGGGGGAGCCCCAAGTTGCAGCTGCCACTGTGGCCGAGGGTCTGGCAGGCCGGGGACCGCCATCGCGACCAGGCAGCTGCAGGAGACCTGGGGTTTGGGGAAGGGGGCTTCGGGCCAGGCGGCTCGGGCCCACCTGCTTCTCTGGCCCCCAGACCCGCGCCCTCACGGCCTCTCCGCAGAAGGTGGCCGTGGCCTCCGACTCGGACGCCGACTCCGATGGGCCCAAGGACCAGCCCGCGCCTGCGGCCAGGTCGGCTTCCTCCTCGTCCTCGTCCTCCTCC